CATGGTGAAGAAGGAACTGAGCCAAAAGGCAAAGCTCTCGATTTACCAGTCGATCTATGTTCCTACCCTCACCTATGGTCATGAGCTGTGGGTAGTGACCGAAAGAACGAGATCGCGAATACAAGTAGCCGAAATGAGTTTCCTCCGCAGGGTGGCTGGGCTCTCCCTTAGATATAGGGTGAGAAGCTCGGTCATTCGGGAGAGATTCAGAGTACAGCCGCTGCTCCTCCACATCGAGAGGAGTCAGATGAGCTGGCTCAGTCATCTGCTCAGGATGTTTCCTGGACGCCTACCTGGTGAGGTGCTCTGGGCATGTCCCACTGGGAGGAGGCCCCGGGGAAGACCCAGGACATGCTGGAGAAACTATGTCTCTCGGGTGGCCTGGGAACGCCTCGAGATTCCCCTGGAGGAGCTGGATGAAGTGGCTGGGGAGAGGGAAGTCTGGGTTTCCCTGCTTAGACTGCTGCCCTTGCGACCCGACCCGGACAAACGGGAGAGGATGGATGGATGGATGGATGGATGAGACTGAATTGGATGTATATTTAATCATTAGAAGTTAAATTGAAACAAATGCTAATGATACAGTCACACATAATGCTTGCTTGTGACATTCAGTAAGAAAGAACAGAAGTGTTCTATATTACTTCAAATATGCAGTTTGTTTTCATTTTATCTTGTGTTTTATCTTAACTCAGTCCCCACAGTGAATGAGAACCCACATGCAGGCAGACTTCCATTACAGAAAGAAAAAAGAAATAGTTTTTCTGAGAATAGGCAGATGCACAGCCAAGGGATGCTCAGGTGGGAAGTCATGAGTAACAGGCCTGTACACCAAACCTGACAACCACAACAATGCAACAATGCAAAAGCACAATCCTACAAAAGGTTTATCTACAAAAACATAGTGAGACAAGACATGAATGTATAGGGAGTCTGTGACCTCTATCTTATCATTCCTTAAAAAGAAACAAAAAACTACATTCTGACTGGCAGGGACCTCATACTCAGTACGTTTACATATACAGCTAAGTCAAGCTATGGTTTTAGCCCTACTATGCAATTTAATCGGACGAATGTCCTTGTCTCAGTATACATGCATGAAGGGGAATCGATTTTTTGACCGAGGTAGGTTCAACTCCGCTACAATATGTGCCGATATGACTCCTTTCAGCTTATTAATATTGGGCTTTTTCCGGGTTGACCTATTACATCACAGACGTAAAAACTAATAAAATAAATAATAATGGATGCGTGGACAAACGAAGTGACACAACTTTTAATTGCAATCTAGTCAGAAGAACAAATACAAGAAGATTAGGATAGCATAACAAGAATTAAAGTTTTGTATAATATACTATGATAGCACAGTATGAGAAATTTTTCAAATATTGCAATGTGATTTTGTTATAATAAATATTGGAGTATTTATGAAACAAAAAAAGGAGTTCAACATAGATTTCTCACATACCCATTTAGGAGTGATTTAAACAGCAAGGATATAAATGATTATGATTGTCTCGGAGAATGCACTCAAGCAAAAGCAGAAGAGATAAACTGATTTTTTAACATATACTAGATAATATTGAGGAAGGAATAATCATTAAAATTACACAACTTCATAAGTTTTCTTTCCTATGATAGAGTAAAAATGTTTTAGCGAGACTTAAACTCCCTGCACCATACCAAACTGAAGGTAAGAAAAAACCTGATCTTGATGTAGCTAACTAGCAATTTAAGAATTGGATGTGCATAACATGATATTTGTATTGATATGACACTTTGTCCAGTCCTACTACAGCCATTTCTCGAATTCAATATAAAATACCCAGCCTGTACGGTTTCTGATGCAATGAAAAAGCGCCCTTTAGTTGACCGGTGAACTGGACAGCTTTACAGTGCTGTACATTTCATAAGTGCTGTATCTTGTATTTTTTTTTTCTTTTTACAAACAAAATGCACACTGTTCCTTGTGGCTATGGTGTTATCGGAAAACAGACGACACCAGCGTATGGTGCTGGAGTGTGCTAACAGTTCCACCTCTGCTATACTCCATGCTTCTTCTGTGTACCGGCCTCTTCTGTTACTTTTGAGGCAAAGCCTGAGGAGTGGGTGGTGGGGGGGGGGGAGAACTGTGGAGCATGTGCAGAACACCTAAGCCAGTTTGAGTCTGACTGAACGTATACAGTACATGCAGGAGTAAATCGACTCCCATACTCCGAGGAACCCTCCAATATCCTTGTGAGGGTGAAAAGCTGGTCCAGTGTTACGCACTGGCAGCAAACTGGGGGTCTACAAGCAGACCCACCCCTGCCTAGTGCCCCTCCCCATGGGTAACTGGAATAGAGTTGTCTAGAGTTCAGCCCCTCTCCAGCAGTTTGGTCCAAGAGTCGAGCCCAACTATATCTAGTCAGTATCTCTCTACCTCCCACCCCAGCTCAGGCTCCTTTCTTACTAGAGAGGTTACGCTCCATGTGCTAAGAGCCAATTTTGGTTGCCATCGATTGGTCCGTCAAGGCCCCTGCCTTCGACTGCCACCACTGCACCCAATCACCATGGTTCTCCCTGCAAGTGGTGGGCCCACAGCGGAGTGAACCCATGTTACCCCTTTGGGCTTTGCCTGGCTGGGCTCATCTTCTAGCTCCTGCCCCAGGCCTGGCTCCAGGGCAAGGCCCCGGTCCCCCCAGTCAGGGCAGGGTAACATACACCTTCATTTTATTTAGAGTTAATATGAACCACACTTGGCCACAGTCTGGCCACTCACCTAGAACCAATTTGCCTTGGGAGACCCTACCAGGGGCAAACGTCACGACAACATAACTCCTATCATAGAGGCATGCAAACATCTCATGAAATGTATTTATTTAAAGAGTTATAGATCCTTTATATTTAATTGTACTCAGTGTATTTTTGAAAAAGTGTTTTTGTGAAAAATACAGAAACATTTATTAAATTATTTTTAAAAGTTCTATATTAAATACAAATACTAGTAAACAATTTTACATCATATTACTTTCTAGAGTAAAATAAACAATTGCAAAAGTAGAAACCTCGTATTGTAATGTAATATATGGTTCTCTTTTATAACAATATGTTATAAGCTTGCAAAAAACTTATAATTACAACATTCAGTTTTTTAACTAAAATTTGAAAAATATTCCTTGTGAAAAAAACTTTGCAAAATAATTAATCTTAAATATAAAATCAGACAAATTCTCAAATATCTAACCAAAGTAGTGAACAGAAAAATATATACAGGATTCTATTTCCTGTTCTCTTTGTTCAAGCCAGTGCCATCTTGACCTACATCTGGTTAAAAAGTCTTGTTTATAACATTAGCACAAAAGGTAATATAGCAATTTTTATACACTTGATATTGTTGCCTAGTGATGATGGAATAATGGATACTACAGAATACTGTTCTATGACTAACAACATGTAAAGTTTTCCACAGAAATACAGAACTACAACAATTTTTTACACCAAGTGAAAAAATAAGCAATTGACAAGATTGTTTGCAAGGTTGTTGGCATTATTTAGGATTCTAGAGAAAAACTAGAACTATTACCCAAAATAATAAAATAAACAAAGGCAACCCTACTCAGAAAATTATATTGGTTAGATATTGGTTTTCTATTCAAAATGTTTTTATTTATCTTGTATGCTCTGTATTGTTTGTCAGTTATATGAATCAATACAAATTAAAATTATTCACTAAACATTTGCATGGAAAAGCATAGCTCAAAATATTATAATCTCAGAATAATATAACAATTTATCAGGAATTCCCTTTTACATCCATCAGAGAGTATTTTCCACATCCTCCTAATGATAACATTGCATATCCTTAACTTTCATCATTACTGCTTCTTCTGACAGCCCATCTCTTACATCCCCATATACAGTACTACTTAAAACTATATTCCTCAATATATCTAGTTCCATACATTCTTAAATTGCTGATTTCACATGTCCTTCTTACATTAACTTCACTCAGTCCAGTTAACAGACTCGCAGTGGGTATTTGTGTGTATATTCTGTTTGTTACAATTAGGTAGACCTATTAGCATTACACACTTATTATTGCACTAACTATGTCAGTACATACAGTACATCAACTCTACTCCAGGTACCCACGTAAGTGTTAATTACTGTAACCTTTGTGTTAGCACATTATTAGTTCTGTATGAGTATTTTAACACAGATACATACATTAGCACATTACTCTGCATTTCTAGGACAATAGTACGCTTGCAGACCTTTGTTAGTTCAGACGTTACTTTATACTTAAAGTGACATAATACTCAAAATAAACAGTATGCATGCACGTATGTCCCATACACTAAATGTTTCTTAGCATTCGAATGCAGTGGGGTGGGTATAACACAGAGCACAACATGCCCTGCATGTTGATGCAGCCTTTTTAAAACCAGCATAACGTTAAGAGTAACGTATGCCAGAAATTACGTAGACTACCATCATGGTCTACAACCATGTATAAATACATCAAACAGTTACTATTTTAGATTTTGTTTATGCTCAGCAGCCATACGTATTCGTTTTTAAAATCCAAACGTTAAATGATATTTAAAAAAAAATATGGGTTTAATGTGTGGTATAGAATATTATTTCATTTAACAGTGCAGACTACATACATAACACGCACATCTGCCTATGCCCCAAGGCAGGAAAAGACGCCCTACAGTCGCGAATGTGTTATTTTTCCACATTAAGAATTTATTTGCTTTTTGTTGACAATAAAGTCATGTCCGATCGGAAGTATATGCGGCATCCAGTGCTATTCACATAAATTGTGAAACTCCATGCCCTTAAAAATACTTTAAGCTTCATGCCTGCAGCGAAGTAGCCGTCCTGCGTACGATCTCCCAGTACCGCAGTATACTCACATAAGCGCGTCATTGAGCATCCCGCAGCACCAGACACGCGCGTCCACGCTACGGGCAAACCACACCTGTATTTCGAAAACACATAAAGTTGCTTACCCACACTTTTGTTCTCCATCCCAGTCGCGATGGTATTTGGTTAGGGCACGTTAAGACGATGTGGTTGAAAAAAACGTGTCTGGCTGTTTGAGATGTGGCTCTTCTCTTCAGACAGGGATGCCGACGCAGTGCCTATCTGAAATCAATAAGTGGCTCATGAGAACAGCTGCATACACAGCGAATTTTGTATCTTCTTCTAGCTGGCCGTTTTTACATTAGGAGTATGGCTGTAAAGGAGAAATTCGTTACTCAATTTGACGAGGCAGCTGAAGCGCGTTACCTGCGTCCACGCGCCTAGATATGTAGCTGTCCCCGTGCTGCGGTGCAGCAGCTCCACTCCTATCAACTAGAGGAGTGACGTCACGACTGAGAGAATAGTTTTAAGGTGACATCTATAAGTCATGGATTCAATAATGTGGCTTTCATGTCTAATTATATATTGTGTAACAAATATAATTGCATAACAATTATCACATACATGTATACACACACATACATACATATAGGTCTGTGTGTGTGTACCCCACAATGTGATAAATACCTGTTATTTAGAAGTTCTGGGGACCATTTTTCAGGTCCCCACAGAAATCTGTGAATGTATATCAAAAAATTGAAAATGCCAAAAGTCTCTAATTTTGTTTGGATACTTATAGTAAAGGTTAGGGCCGGGTAGAGGTTAAGGTTGTCATTGCTGGGATTAGGGTTTTGCCCTTAGAGATGAATGGAAGGTCCCCACAAGATATGAGTACAGGTCTGTTCTCCCTCTCTGTCTCTGTGTGTGTGTGTGTGTGTGTGTGTGTGTGTGAGTGCGTGTTAGTGAGCCTCCGTGTGTGTGTGTGTGTGTGTGTGTGTGTGCGATTCTAGGGACATTGGGGGACCTCCAACACATCTTCCACTGACATGGTCAAATTTATGACCTTCAAGTCTAAATTAATACACATTTTACTAAACACAATTCCTTTATTTTCAGTTTTGTGAAAAGCAGAATGCACAAATAAAGCAGATTTGTAATTGTAATGTACTATGTAATCGGCCCAGCTCGGGAGCCCCTTGCCTGTCCTGTCCCTACACCTCTGTGTGTGTGGAGGTGATATATTGTATACATTACATTGTGGGGACCAAATGCTGGTGCAGTTTTGCCGTACTTGTAAAACCTGTCAGACTGCAGAAAAACCAAATCAGGTAGTCCCTCCTGCTCCGCTCTATCACATCCCAGCACTTGGCAAACCTTTTCAGTATGTGATTGTGGACTGTGTAGGCCTATTACCAAAGACAAAAACTGGTAATCAGCTCCTTTTAATAATAATATGTACTGCAACATGCTATCCAAAGGCAATCCCTCGCAAAGGACTCACTGCTCCTCTGATTATTAAGGCTTTAACAAAGTTTTTTACCACCTTCGGCCTTCTCAGAGTAGTTCAGACAGACCTAATTTTACATCCAACCTTTTCAAACAGGTTTTGCAAACTCTAGGGTTTAACCATGTTGTCTTTAGTGCCTATCATCCAGAGTCCCAAGGAGCTCTGGAAAAACGGGATCAGACTTTTAAATCGATGCTACAAAAGTACTGTTTGGAAACTAGTAAAGATTGGGATAAAAAAGTGCCATTGATGGTATTTGCCATACGGGAAGCTAAAATGGATCACTGGGTCCTTTAAAGTTGCTTAAAGAACAGTTTATGTCACTTGTCAGAACTATTGTCTTGGACTATGTTTCACAGTTTTGTGAGCGCCTGCACCAAACTTGTTCAGTATCATTGAATCTGCCCAGATCATAATGAAGCAGCAGTATGATAAGAAAGTCCCTCAATTCTTCAAACCAGGTGATGAAGTTTTCCTAAGCAGTGATCCCCCACACTAGTCTGTGTAAACCAAAATAGTCATTAGTCTGGAGTAGTGACTTCCAGTATATCTTTGAATGTGCCAAAGCTCTTCTGTCCAGTTCACCTATACTTGCTGCTTCACATTTTTCCAAGTCCTTTAAGGTGGAGATGGATGCTAGTGATGCAGGGGGCAGGGCTGTCCTTCACCAAGATGATGCCAAGGGATTGAGCCAGCCAGTATGCTACTTCTCCCGTAAGTTTAACAAGCATCAAATGAGATATTCAACAATTGAGAAGGAAACCTTGGCCATGCTTCTTGCCCTTCAGCAGTTCAAAGTCTATGTGGGATCAGCTCCACACCCTGTGGAGGTTTATACTGATCACAACCCCTTTGCATTACTGTCACACATGTAGAACAAAAACCTGATGCTGATGAGGTGGGCATTAGTCTGTCAAAATTATAATCTTCTAATTTAGCACAAAAATGATATGACAATGTGGTGGCAGATGCTCTCTGTAGGGCATAACTGTTTAGCATGTGCTAAAGTTAATAAATATATGTTTGTTCTTATGGGTGGGGGTATTAAATTACCCTAAAAAAATGTAAAGACTTTTTTGTGCTGCTTTCAAGTCCTGGTCTCTGGGTTCCTTCTTGTTCCTTATTAGCTTTTTGTGTTCGTTTCCTTTGTGTCACTCTGCAGCTAATGAGTGCCCTCCAGGTGCTATATAAACAGTTTGAAGCTGCACTTCAGGGCCTTTGGCCATTCTGGGTTTTATCAAAGCCCCATGTGTTTCAGAGAACTCTCTGTCAGGCTATGCCTTATGGTATGATACTGGTTAGGCCAGGTTTATGCGTTTCCTGCAGCTGGTTGTCACTCCTGAACTGATTCACTGATTCATTGTTTTTCCTGTTACCTCTACCAGAGAAAGCTTGTAGAGGAGAGCTGCCATTTTAGTTTGACTAACACCTCTTTTCCTCAGTTTTTCCTTGAGTGCTAGAGAGTTGAGTTGTAGGTGTGTATCCGTTTCTTTTGTAAGATAGTTAGTTGATGGTCATTTTCATTCCAGCTTAGGGCTGTTTTGTTTGTTGTGTTGGCCTTGGCTCTACCCAGGGTCAACTTGTGCTTTCTTTGAAACAATGTTGCTCCCCTTACCTCTAAGCCAGCTTGGGGATATAACACCCCACCTTGTGATTAAAGCTTGTCATTATGATGATGTGGGGGGCACTTTTTTGTCATCACACGGGGAAACTCAGTTTTATGAGAATCTGTACTGCAATCAAAAAACTAAAAATGATAGAAGTATTTTGCTTGGTTACTTATGGTTGAGGGTATGGCTGGGTAGGGGTTGTCATTGATGCAATGCTGCTATTTTGATTGTACCACATATCTTCACTCTACAGTACCGGTCTGGACAGACTTGCTTTTAACATACAGACGCTCCTCTACTTACAAACTTTCAACTTACGAACTTTCAGACATAAGAACAAAGAAGACTGTAAGTCCAAATTGTGTTTGTTAGGCTATCGTTTCCTGTCCGTAACATCATTTTTTTTTCTGTGCGGCAGTTCCGCCTAGTATGACTTCTGGCCGCTGCTCCCGCCTCAGCAGCAGCGTAATGTGCGTACTCCCAGCATCCTAGTTCTTTGTACTTGTGTATACACTTAAAACGATGTTGAATAACGACTTACGAACATTTCAAGTTATGAACGGCCATTCGGAATGTAACTCGTTTGTAAGTAGAGGAGTGTCTGTATTTTATTTTATTTATTTTCAGATGCAGACACATGGAATTCTTCTTCAACAGACTTAAAGTCTAGGCACAAGTTGGCTACCTTGCCCTTGTTGGCTACCTTGATCAACTCATCCCAAAACAGCTCAATAGGGTTTAAGGTTGGGGGATTGTACAGATCAGGTCATCTGTTATAGCACTCCATCTCTTTCCATCCATCCATCCATCCATCATCTCCCGCTTAATCTGAGGTCGGGTCGCAGGCAGTGCTTGAAGTGGGAAAAAATAAGTGCAGGAACTCTAATTTTCCGACATTTCACTTTCAGTAAGTACCGGAACGCAGAAAAAAGTGGCGGAACCAAAAAGACAAAAATACAGAAGTTCCGGAACTGCGTTCCGGCCCACTTCAAGCACTAGTTGCAGGGGTAGCTGTCTCAGCAGGGAAACCCAGACTTCCCTCTCCCCGGCCACTTCATCCAGTTCCTCTGGGGGGATCCCGAGGTGTTCCCAGGCCAGCCAAGAGACATAGTCCCTCCAGCGTGTCCTGGGTCTTCCCCAGGGCCTCCTCCCAGTGGGACATGCCCGGAACACCTCGTCCAGGAGGTATCCTAATCAGATGCCCGAGCCACCTCATCTGGCTCCTCTCAATGCGGAGGAGCTGCGGCTCTACTCCCAAATGACTGAGCTCCTCACTCTATCTCTAAGGGAGACCCCAGCCACCCTGCGGAGGAAACTCATTTCGGCCGCTTACACTCGCGATCTCGTTCTTTCGGTCACAACCCACAGCACGTGACCAAAGGTGAGAGTAGAAACGTAGATGGACTGGTAAATCGAGAGCTTCGCCTTCTGACTCAGCTCTTTCTTCACCATGACAGACTGATGCAGCGCCCGCATCACTGCGGACGCCGCACCGATCCACGTGTCAATCTCCCGCTCCATCGTCCCCTCACTCATGAACAAGACCCCGAGATACTTAAACTCCTCCACTTAGCAAAGGACCCCATCACCGACCCGGAGAGAGCATTCTACCCTTTTCCGGCTGAGGAGCATGGTCTCGGATTTGGAGGTGCTGATTCTCATCCCAGCTGCTTCACACTCGGCTGCGAACTGTCCAAGTGAGAGCCGAAGGTCACGGTCTGATAAGGCCAACAGAACCACATCATCTGCAAAAAAGGAGAGACCTAATCCTGAGGTCACCAAACCGGACACCCTCAACGCCCTGGCTGCGCCTAGAAATTCTGTCCATAAAAACTATGAACGAGTCCGACTTATTGCCGCCCATGTGGACCAGGCTCTGGCACCGGTCATACAGGGACCAAACAGCCCTTAAAAGGAAGCCTGGCACCCCATACTCCCGGAGCACCCCCCACAGGACTCCCCGAGGGACACGGTCGAATGCCTTCTCCAAGTCCACAAAACACATGTAGACTGGTTGGGCAAACTCCCATGAACCCTCCAAAACCCTGCGGGGAGTATAGAGCTGGTCCACTGTTCCACGGCCAGGGCAAAAACCACACTACTCCTCCTGAATCCGAGGTTCGATAATCCGGTGGACCTTCCTCTCCAGGACCTCCGAATAGACCTTACCAGGGTGACTGAGGAGTGTGATCCCCCTATAGTTGGAGCACACCCTCCGGTCCCCCTTTCTGCCAGTCCAGAGGCACTACCCCCGATGTCTATGTGATGCTGCAGATGCGTGTCAACCAGGACAGCCCCACAGCATCCAGAGCCTTAAGGAACTCCGAGTGGATCTCATCCACCCCCGCGGCCCGGCCACTGAGGAGCTTTTTAACCATCTCAGCGACCTCCACCCCAGAGATAAGGGAGTCCACACCCAAGTCCCTATACTCCACATTGGAAGGCGTGTTGGTGGGATTGAGGAGGTCTTCGAAGTACTCCCTCCACCGACCCAAAACGTCCCGAGTTGAGGTCAGCAGCACCCCATCCCCACCATAAACAGTGTTGATGTTGCCACGCTTTCCTTGTTCACAAAATAATACAATACTTACAAAACCTCAATGGGTGCGTAGGGTCATTATATTGTTGTTGTTAATGTTGGTGTGTTCAGACGTTTGACTGGTACTATACTGTGCTTCACCACATATTCAATGTACAACATATGTATAAAGACCACCAAAACAACAAAGTCAACAACAACATAAAAATCAACAGGGACTCAAATATAAGACCTCAATTCTAATAGAACATAATGGCATGATCTGAACCAGATCGTTCAATGAGACATTTAAAAAATTTTAATGCTGGTTTTTCCACCTCTGTCATGACTCGAGTCACCACTGTGACAGGAACGCACTGTCTTCTGGGCACAGTTTTTTGTAGCTGCTACAATGATTGAGACCTTGACATCGATGCCCTTGACTTCATTGTGCAAATGGGAGACATTTTTTCTGGTGGTGTGAGTTGAATTAATGTCACATGGAAGTCTCACATAGATGTTCTCAGCAGACCCTTATTGCTTGCCATCCTCACCCATCCAGCGTCCTCCTAATGTGCTGAACACCAAGTGGAGATAACCTAACAGCTCTGTCCTCCTTTTTCCAAGTGTCCAAAATGTATTGTTTTCAAACATACTTTTTATGCGCAGTACATGGCTAACACAGAAGCCAAATAATAAAACATTCTGAAAAGAATGAGAAGTTAGGTGAACTGGTCGTCCATAATGCAATCCCTGCGATGAACTGGTATCCCATCCAGGGAATCACCTGCCTTATGCATTCTGCCTCTTGAGATAGGCTGCAACGAGCCTACAGCCTTGTACAGGATTGGCAGTTACCAATGGATGGATAGTCCAGCAGTATTGAATCATGGGATAGAAAATGCCAAAATGTTACTTTAGAAACAAAATGCTCTTCAGTAGAAAAACACATCCACTTTTAAATTTATGTAAGCACAGAACTGTTTATGATGCACTCTGAAATATTACTGATACTTTAACACCCAATTTTTAAAAATCTTTTTGTGTTGACTGGAGTGAATGAGAGAATGTCAAAAAGAAGTCTGGTTTTCAAAGAATGACTGAGAAGCTCTGTCTTTTCTTGTGCACTACTCTAATGATTTGTAATAAAATAAAAGTAGGTTTCATCAGTATCATTTATTAGAGCACACTGGAATAGGATTTTAAATATTTACAATTCAATGGATGGGTTGTACATTTACTAGGTACATTTAATAAACTGAAATTGTAGTAACTGCCAAACACATTAGAATATATATATAATATTTAATAAAGGGACAAAGCAACTGTAAATAACCAGGATAAGAATATTAGTAAAATACCTATATATGTACTCTAACACTGCTTATGTAATAGATTAAACGTATGCATTTGTGCTCAGTGCTGGTGCGCAGATTTTCTGTCGTTGGCTATTCACAGAATATGTGTAATCATACCTGGTTGAGAGAAATGGATCAGGTCAAACAGACCACAGTTCCACAATGACAAACAGAATATAGATAATAATAATAATAATAATAATCATCATCATCATCGTCATCATCATCATCATCAGCAACAATGACAAAAATATTAAGTGTTTCCTGCTGCCCTTACCCTGTTGGCAGTTCTGTTGAGCTGCCCCTGCACGAACCACAAAGAAGAGCTCCGCCTAGAATGGCCAGACTAGCACCCCCCCAGCCAATATATAAGCCAGGCCCAAGTTCAAACCTGCAGCGGGTGTGATTAATGTGGAGAGGTCACAGAGTTATAGTTAGTAAGTGTTGTGTATCTATATGAGACTTTTCACACTCACAATTTATGCCTTTACAAAACCAATGAACTCACTTCAGGCTTCCACCTAAGGGGTTGTAGAAGTCCTGTATGACTTGAGAGGCATACCAGCTCACGGCTGTGAGGGAGGAGGCCCCTGAAAAAATGGAAGCTTTTCTGTTTTAATTGTACTTTTCCAGTTAAAAAATAAAAGGAATCTAAATTATTATTTGCAACCAAATTGTTATTTAATCTTATCTCTTCCTAACCTATCCACCGATCTTCAAACCACTCCAGGGTTGTCTAAGCCTGTCCCAGGCAGTTCAGGGCACAAGACTGGGGTGCGCCTTTGATGCAATACCAGTCCATCATACGACACACACACACGCTTTTGGATTATATACTATGGGCAATTTACAGATTCCAATTAGCCTAAGTGCATTCCTATGCAACACTGTGAGAACATGCAAACTCCACAAACACAGAGCATCCAAGTCATTACACATTACATTTGTTATCAGACACTTGGACACTGCTACTCCCCTAATCTGTGGGAACTCACCTGACAGAAGGAGCATGATACCACCAAATGTGGCAATCTTGGCCTTTAGATGGTCAGAAATATGTCCAATTTTTATGAACTTCATTCCCAGCAGTGATATAATGACACCAAACAAGCCCAGAAGCACAGAGGTAATCATCAGAGCACGGCATGCTTGAATATAACCTAGACACAGAGTGATATGCTTCACATTATGATCAAGCAAGACATTATTAACTACAAAATACCAACAAAGATTATTGTTTGGGTAAATTTCAGCACTTCGGAAAACCACCAGGATGGCTTTCAACTAGTATCTAAACAATCATTACTTAAGAATACTTAAGAATTCCCAAAGTATAATATTTTTATATCTTTATAAATTAAAGAATCAGATATGCTTATACGGCTTAAAAAAAAGTTCCAAGATTCACGGTTAGAGATAATTATACTCAGAAAGAATGGTCCAGGTGCAGTCCCCAAAAAACCTAACACAGATGCTATGAATGACTTAGGCCCTGTTACCCTCAAATCAGTTGTCATGAAATACCTGAGGAAATAGTTTTAAAATTCATTAACTCTATAACACAGACTGTTGACTCCCTTCAGTTCCACCACCGCCCAAATAAGTCAGTTTATAATGCGGTACCTTTTGCTCTCCACTCTGCCTTGGAGCACCTACAAATACATATGTAAGTATGCTCTTCCTGGACCGTCCAGCTCACAAACCGGTGGTAAAACTGGCAGGTCTTGGATTGCCGACATACACCTGTAACTGGATCTTGGTCTTTCTAACTGACAGACCAGTGGTGGTGAGGTAAAGCAACAAAGTGTCTGCTTAATGCCCAATAAGCAATGTTGCCCTCCAGAGCTGCTGTTACAGTCCAAAAACTCTTCCATCTTATATATATATATATATATACACACACACACACACACACACATATATGACTGCTGATCAGCTCAAAAACACAACATAATTTTTAACTTTGCAGATGGTACAACCATATCTGGACTGATTAATAAAAGCAATGAGACCTCATACTCCCTAGTCAGTAAAGTGTCCCCTCTGCCTCTGCCTCCATTGCAGTCACTCTACATCAAAGGCACTGAGGTGGAGCAGGTCAACAGTTTCAAGTTCCTAGGAATACACATCTCTAATAACCAGAGCTGGCCAACAAATACCACTGATCACTGTTGCCAGATTTGCTTATGTACATGTTTATGTACATTTGCTTATGTGTCTGTGTGAGTTGATAAACCTACCAGGTAGACCAAGGACAGTTTTATATCTGTGACATTGAATTGCTCCAACAGCAGTGGCTGCACAATGCATCCAGAGACCCTGAAATTGCCAGGTGCTGGTAGTCACTGCATCTGCATGGCTCTTCACCTTCCAGACATGGGAGCTTGTAGAACTTAACTCGAGGGTCCAGCTCACTAAGCCCATGAGTAGGCCCAGGATCTGCATTGCCATGACCACCATTCCTGGCACACTTTATGATCTAAAAAAATCCAGAAACAGCAAAGAACCAGAACAGAAAGAGTTGAATGGAGGAACAGAGATAGGAGATTGTATCAAAAAGATGCCACTTAATTAACTGACTTCTGTAATGATGCATATACTTTAGTATTGCAATCTACTGCTTAACAGAGAACAAGTACCGAATAACTAACTAACTAAATATCAAAACAAAAGCAAAAATTTCATAATGAAATTCTGGTTCAGCATCTTGAAAAAAAAAAACAATTTCATTAAAACTAATTTACACATTAATTACATAAAAAATAGTGCAAGACTTACATGTGTGTCCAACCCCTGGTATGACTATTAAAGACCTGTGTAAATGAGGTGTGCAGTTGTAGGATTTTTGGTGTCTCTGTTCCCCTTAAGCTAATATATATCTGAGGGTCAATAACCGTGCTGTCACAAAAGAATGACCTGAGCAAATATACCGCATACTGCGCAGCACATTCTCAGTCTGATAGCATAGCTATTGCCTGTCAAGTAACTGAGCACCCACTCTATGAGTATCATAACACTCCTTTGCCTTGTGTTGATTAAAGTATTTGTTAAAATAACTAAATGTAAATGTTTATTATATTCTGTGATGGGTTGGCGCCCCATCGTGGATTGTTACCCACTTTGCGCCCGTAGCCTCCGGACTCCCGGCGACCCTGAATAGGACAAGCGGTTACAGAAAATGGATGTATAGATGACTTCTTATATTTTCTATAAAAATCGTGCAAACAGTGGCTACACAAAATCAGTTTCAAAGTATAATTACACTAATTCATCTGGGGACATGAAGGATATGGAAAAGTGATTTTTTTTTTTTACACACAAGTGGTTAGTTAGTACATGTGGGCATAAATATTTTAAATTGAAAGACAGAAACATTTTTCCTGTGTATGAATAAATTTTGTGTTTGAATGCATGTTTCTTTCACTGTGCAAACTTTAAAAGTTGCTGGTAATGGTGTCGTGTAGTTAAAACGGAACTCACCCGGAGGACGGGGGTCTTTAGCTAGCGGGAGGTGGATTGAAGACAAGGGACTCGCTTAACCACTTCAGTGGTATTTTTAATAACGATGTTTTTTCTGGAGGTTATAACCAGGCTACTGTGTCACTCACTTCGGCACGTTTCTTCCCTAAAAACCTCCGTGTAACAACAACGAACTAAATTATGTTCCCCTCGTTACTTGCGAGGCTTTCCCATATTAATTAAACTGTAAATATAAAATATGAAACATTACGATTTCTGTGCTTACATTACTCCCTTACCCAAAAAGAAATGTCCTAATTTCTAAGAAGTCTGATTTACATATTGTAGGAATTATTAGCTCAGGTAAATTTTAATATCGCCACCAATATGTTTTGAAATTAAAGTTTGATTATAATTAGTATATATGTAATGACGATTATTGCCTAATCGTTATGCCGAATGGTTGGTTCCTCCAAACTTAATTGCGGTATCCCCGTGAATCTGTTAATGTGACACTTGCATGGGATTCACTAATTACCAGTACCGCTTAGTAACCTGGGTTAGAAGGCTCGTCCAGCGACCTGCATCAGCAGTTAATGTAAAAGATTGGTAGCGAAGCTCCCCTCACGGCCGTCGAGAGAGAGTCTCGCGATATTTCAGGCGAGTTTGAGGTTTCAGAGCTTATAGTAGCCCAGGGGTAGCCAATCTTATCCGCAAAGGGCCGGTATGTATGCTGTTTTTGCTGCAACTCCCTAATTAGATAACTAATTAGAAGACTGATTGGCTGAAGAGTCCTCACACCTGGGTTTGAATAGCTGACCTACAGGTTATCCCAAAAACCTGCATACACACCATCCCTTTGCGGGTAAGATTGGCTACCCCTGTAGTAGCCAGATCACACAGAGGCAGGGACTATTATGAGCATGCAATGAACAGAGACTGAAGTTGTGTAAAAGACATGCATTTATTCATACAACTAACATAAGACTGACATTACACTTAACATAAACAACAAACACAAAATAACGGAATAGAAACAAACAATGTAATTATGGAAATGCAATGACCAGGTTTAAATAGGAAATCTTAAAAGGGAATTACTGTTCTGCACAGCAAGCACAGTTTGCAGAAACACAACCCTAAAGCCATATAGCAGGTTAACAGAACAGCTTAGGTTGTTAGAATGAAAGGAAGTTGGTTTACCTGGTTGCAGAGTGGGGGGGTGTATAGTCTTGGCAGTTGATTGCAGAGGCTGATGAACTGATAGGATGATGGCACTCAGGATGGCGTGGCGTTTGGAGTGGAGCCCCTTGGATTTTCTCTCCCTGTGAAGCTTTAAGGTGAAAGGCTTTGTCTTCGTTGCAGTTCTCTGTTGGGTAGCAGGCCTTCACCGGCAGGCTTCAGGAGGGCTTCTTGTAGGCTTCTCTTCTCCTGGGCTGATGTTCTCCACCTCTCTCTTCGGGCTGATGTGCTTCCTGCTCTTCCCGGGCGGATGTTCCTTCTGCTACAGAGGCTTTGTTCTGAGGTGCCAGGTTTTATGGTATAAAGTTCATGAATAGGGATGACCAGGAATTTGACACCTGAACCAATGGCTGACCATCTATTTGGCGGGCTTTCACAAGGGTGTCTGTAGCAGTCCTTTTGGGTTTTATGACCAGACTGATTCCCCTTTGCTGATGATTTTCATTAAGCTGGAGTAACTTTTGATACATACACTTTCTGGTAACCCCTGACCTGATTTGGAATCAGGAGTGATTGTCCATCAGTTTGACACCAAATATGCCATACCAGCCTGGCGGTTCACACCTCATACCATCTGTATTAATTAACAATTACTTATGTCTGTTACTGACTCACATCAGTATACGGTATAGGTGTTTTGGGTTGCACATCAACAGATGTTACACTTTGGGTAAATTGTACAGACATTACATTACATATTCACATTTAAACAGCCCATCTTAACCTTAGATAGGCGTGGCCGTTAATTTGTGGTAATGCCAATTTGAATTGCACATGTGGGAACAACATATTTTGGTTGGTGTGGCTTATCCCAGTTGGTCTGCTCTCGAGGATGGATTCTTTTAATGCAGCATGGTAGACCACAAAGAGTTTGATAATGGGTCAGAAAGATCAGATAAGGGCCACAGAGGAATGTGAAAAAAGGGGGGGGTTGTTAATTAAACAATGAATTCTATTTGTCCATATAACAAACCTCCAGAAAATACAATACAAATCTTCAGAAAAGTGGCAGCATGACTAACTAGGTCTAGGTTATACCTCTACTGTATGAAATCAAGGAGAGAAAAAAAAAATAAATGAAAAAATAATTCTTAACTTTGATAACCTGTAGGTGTTTTGTCTATTCAATTTAAAATAAATAGTATACATAGGATGTACAGTATCTGTACAGGCAATATTAAATAAAAAAATAATGAAGTGATGAACCTTGAAGTGATTTTCTTTCTCTACTCTAGATAAACAGGGTACAAAATTATATAGGCAATATTAAATGTAAAAATAACACAAAGTGCAAAATCAAGTTGGTATCCTAATGAGATACCTGCCTCTTTATGGTGAGGTTCTTTTTAAAATGATAAGCATGTCAACACTCTGAAGCAAGGTAAGTACTACCAAATCTTATCTTTTAAAGAAAATGAATTTTGTTTGACAGTAACATGTACAAAGTTAAGCATATCACTGTTAAAAACTAACCACAGCCAATCAAGGCACAGTAAGCATAAATTGATAGATACATAAGTCACCAAATAAGTAAACGTTTTTTTACATAGCACTTTTCTAAGCAGGAGCTACGAAGTGCTGTACAACAAATCTTAAAAGAAACTTATTCCTAAAACATACAGCACACAACAACATAAAACCAAAACAATAAAACAGAAAGTACTATTAAAATAAAACACAAAATGCTACCTTGACTCATTGGAATTAAAAGTGCCATTAAATGTGTCCACCTTTTAAAAGTGGCAAAAGAATCAGACTGTCTAATATCCAGATGGAAATGATTCCTTAATCGTGGGGCACGAGTGGCAAATGCGCAGTCCCCTTTCCACTTTAAATTAGTTCTAGGAACCACTAACAAACCTTGGTTAGAGGACCTTAGGGACCCAAAAATTGAATAAACAGTCAGCAATTCACAAAGATATTCAGGAGCCTCACCATGTATGGCTTGATAAGTTAACAGCAATAGTGTAAAATCTATTCTAAACTTCATTGGGTGCCAGTGGAGTGAGGCCAGCACTGGTGTAATATGATCAAAGTGTATAGACTTTGTAAGAAGCCGAGTTGCCACATTTTGAACTAATTGAAGCCGTGCCAGAGTTTTCTGACAAAGGCACATAAATAATGAATTGAGGTAGTCCAGGCGAGATGACACAAATGCATGAATAATTAATTCTATGTTCTAAAAAGATAGGATGTTTGATTTTTGCGATGTTTCTTAACTGGAAGAAGCATGATTGCACTAGTTTCTGTATATGAAGAGAAAAATTTAACAAATCAAAGATAATGCCCAAGTTCTTAACACACAAAATCACCTTGGATCCCAGAGGACCTGCAAGTCCTTTGTACAATTCTCAAGTCCAATGATCAAAACCTTGGTTTTATCCTCATTTGGTTTTAAAAACTTACATGACATCCGGTCCTCAGTATTACAAACTCCACAACCCAAGAGAGTACAGAATGTATTTGATGTAGCAGTCCTATACATATAGTGGGCAAAATAACATATTGTGGGGACTGGAGAGTCGTCGGGTAATTTTAATGAAGATGATGACAATTTTTTAAAAATTAAACACTCTCTTTGTTTACAGCCACTATCATTTTAATGATAGTGGCACAGACAAGGAAACTAACTGTTTGCAGCTGCCATGGCCTTATCTGCAGGAGCTTACATATTGCACTCACCTAACTATTTGTACAGTCTCTAGTCTCCCCTCCTTTGGCTAATTTGGAAACCCCAAATTTTCAAGATATCCTGCCTACCCTGCTGCCTGTGACATCTCCACTACCTGTGACATCCTTCCGGCCTGCTCACCCTACTGCCTGTGATATCTTCCCTGTATGCCTTGCTGCTGTAATACTGTTCACCCTGCCATCTGAAGCTGCTCCAGCACTTACCTGTTATCACCTCCCAGCCCCCCACTTTGTGAATCAAATATTAAGACTGGGAAAATGTGAATTGGAACTTTGCCACCTTGATCACTGCCAGGAGGATGAGCTCCCCCTCTGAGTCTGGTTCCTCCTAAGGTTTCTTCCTTCTAGGGAGTTTTTCCTTGCCACTGTCACCTCTGGCTTGCTCACTGGGGGCTTTGGGCGGGGATGATTTAAAGTGCTTTGAGACAATCAATTTTATGACCAATAAAAATGATGTGGTGGTTACGGGTGATTTTAATTTACCTGGGATACAGTGGGACACAGTCTCTGGCTCTTCTGTAAATGAACTTGAGATGGTGGAATTAGTACAGGATTGTTTTTTTTACTCAGTTTGTTAATACCCCTATCAGGGGAGAAGCCCTTCTTGATCTTGTTTTCTCTAATAACCAGGATAGGATTGGAAAATTAGAGGTTTTAGTACCACTGGACAGTAGTGATCATAACATGGTTAAATTCAAGGTTATTTTAGTGTCCCTGTCCAAAACAAAAGTATACAATGTTAGGAACTTTAACGGTATGAGACTGAAACTAAAAACTGTAAACTGGATAGAGTTAAATAGCAAAATGGTTGAAGAGGCATGAGAATTTTTTAAAAGCACATTGTTGCAAGTGCAAGAGGACTTAGAACATAAGAAATTTACAAACGAGAGGAGACCATTCGGCCAATCAAGCTCATTTGGGAAGAACTTAACTAATAGCTCAGAGTTGTTAAAATCTTATCTAGCACTGATTTAAAGGAACCCAGGGTTTTAGCTTGAGCTACACTAGTAGGAAGACTATTCCATACTCTAACTACATGCTGTGTAATGAAGTGTTTCCTCAAATTCGTTTAAAATGTTCTCCCGCTAATTTCCACTTATGGCCACGAGTTCTAGTATTTAAACTAATATTGAAATAGCCATTTGGCTGAACAGCATCCAGACCTGTTAGAATCTTATACACCTGGATCATGCCCCCCTTAGTCTCCTTTGCTCGAGGCTAAACAGATTCAGCTCAGCTAACCTCTCCTCATAAGACATTCCTCCAAGACCAGGAAATTAGTAATCATTCTCATAGCCCTAGGTTGCACCTTTTCCAAGACAGCAATGTCCTTCTTAAGGTAAAGTGACCAAACCTGCACACAATATTCTAGGTGGGGTCTTACCAAGGAATTATATAATCGTAGCATCACTTCCCTTGACTTAAACTCCACACACCTAGAGATGTAACCCAACATTCTATTGGCCTTTGTTATTGCTT